CTGGCCAGGAAAGCCTCCTCGGCGGCGCCCTGGGCGGGGCTTGCGGCATCTGGTGCCGCCGCCGCAGCCGCTGGGGGCGCTGCCTCGGGGGGCCTCGGGCCTGGCGCTGCAGGTTCTCCAGTGGCCAGCTTCCTCTTCTTGGCCTCCTGCTTGATCACCTGCCGCTTCTCGATCGCGGCTGCTTTGGCTTTCGCCGGGTGCTCGCGCAGGTGGCCCTGGAACTGCTTAGCGTTGTCCTGCATCTGCTTGACGACCTGGGCCTTAGCCTCCTCGACTTGCTTCTTAGCTTCCTCATCTAAGTCGTCGTCGTCCAGCGCGAACTCCTTACTGATGTCCGCTGCCAGCTGTCCTTCGGTCAGCTCGTCAAGCTGTCCCGACACCAGCTGCTCGATGATGCCCGCCGTGGGAGCCTGCTTTCCCTCCTGGTGGATCGCATCGCACTCCGCTTCGGCCTGCAAGACTGCGCTGGCCTTCTCCTCCAGCAGCTCGCGCGCCTTGCGCGCCTCCTCCTCTGCTTTCTGCTTCGCCGCGAACGCCTGCGAGTACTGCCGCTGCGCCGTCTGCAGTGCTCGCGCTGCGGCTGCCATCCTCTCAGCTCTCGGCTTCTGCGGGGCCGTCGGCTTGGCCGACTGCAGGGCCGATGTCGCCACCTCGATCTGCTTGGTGATCGTCTCGCTGCCCTCGATCTGCAACTGGCCGAGGGAGGCGGTGATGAGCTGCAGCGCCTGCGCCAGCTGCTCGGGCCCTTTGCCCTTGCCGCTGGCCTTGCCGCCTCCAGCGCTGCCGCTGCTGCCGCCACCTCCTCTGGTCGCCGCCTCCGCCGTGGGGCCCGTGGGGCTCTTCGGCTTGGGCAACATCTTGTTGCAGGTCCCGCAGCGGTAGTCCATGCCCTCCAACTTTGAGTTCCACCACCACTGCCCGCAGGACTTGCAAACGGTGTACTCGGCTGAGCGTCCCATTTTGCTGCCCGACGGGGGCGTGCTGCCGTGGTGCTGGCTCAACAGCTGGGTCTGCAACCTCGCCTTGAGGTCGCGGCGCGCCTGAGCACGCTCGCGGCGCGCGCGCCTGTGCCAGGCGGGCGAGCGCTCGCGCGTCGCCGTCCTGGCGGCGCCGCCGCCGCCTCCTCCTCCTCGCTGGACGCGCCGCCTGGCGCTGGGGGCCCCGATGGCGCGGGCCCGCGTGCGCCCGCCGCGGGGCAAAACGGCACGCGCGGGGCCTCGCTGCGGAGCCGCCTGCGGAGGAGGAGGAGGAGGAGGAGGAGGAGGAGGCAAGGAGGAGGAGGAGGAGGAGGAGGAGGAGGAGGAGGAGGAGGAGGAGGAGGAGGAGGAGGAGGAGGAGGAGGAGCGCGAGGGAGGAAGGGGGAGCAGGAAGCAGATGGGGAAGCAGCAGAGCCCGCGCGGCCCTCCTTTCCTCTCCCCTCCCCGCCGGCCGCGGGCCTCCAAAGGCCCCCCCCCCCCCGCGGGGGTTCCCCGGGTGGGCCACGGGGTGCTCCCCGCGGGTGGCCTCCCCGGGGGTCCCCTGGAGGCCTCCGGGAGGCAAGGCGACTAGCTGCGAGGCCATCGTGAGGAACGTTGCCCTGACGTACAGTCGGGGCGTCGGAACCCTAAATAAGGAACGAGGCCCCTCTTTTTCCATAATTTCAACTTCGATTTCCGATCGAAAACCTGAGGAAAATCTGAGGCAAGCTGCGAAACAATTCAGGAACACGGAGCCCCTCCCCAACGAAAAGGGTTCCTTCTTCAGGGCCCCGACTGTACGGCCTCTTGAACGGCACAGGGCGGCGGTTGCCGAGCGCTTTCGGCTTCCGGTGGCCCCCCAAAAAACGGGCCACGGGACGGCCAAGAACGGGTGATGGTGGAAAGCCAGCCCTGTAGGGGCAGGGTCGGGTCCCTGCAAAGACCCCGTATCGAGAAGAACTCATCGTGTGTCTGTGCACGCCCTGTGCGGCAAATCGCAACAGACAACTCCAAATGCCTGCCACAGCAAGCAGACATGGAAGGCCACGATGGGGAGCAACGATGGGCCACTGGTTTCAGGGACCTGCACACGTGGGTCGGAAGAAGTAGGTAAAAACATGAAGTAGGAAGGCGGATATAGTGGATTGGGTCCAAGCCCTCCCAGAGAATTACAAAACACTGCAAAAGCGTGTCGATTCTGGAAGTAGGAAGGCGCTTGAAGTAGATCGGGATCTGGGAATCCAGAAATACCTACTTTCAACGACCGGCATGTACTTCCTCACTCGGCGTGCAAACATCCGGACATTATCGGGCGTTGGCAGGACTGGGTTTAGTGGGACCTGGTTTAGTGATGTGTAATTTGGGGCGCCCCCCAGGCCCCCTCCCACTAACCGGAACTGCCGTCACCCGAAAAAGACACCAGCTACGGCGGACCTGGTTTTTAGTGATTCTGGCAAACTTAGGAGCTCCGGGGCCCTACTGCTAACCGGGTCCCCTTACCTGGGGTCCTGGCTATACCCGACGTCTCGCCATCGCTCGGACGTCCATTCCCTGCGTTTTTTCCGATCTCGCGCGTGGCTTCTTTGCCAGATGCTCCAGGGTGCTCCTCGGTAGTCTTCGCCGAAGGAGAGAGGCACACGTCCGAGCGATGCCAAGACAGGATCCGGCAGCAGCAGCAAAAACAGCAGAGGGCAGGAGCCGCGCCCCGAGCCTCGAGAACAACACATCCCGCGCGCCTGCATGCCGGGGGTCGGCCCCCCAAGGGGCGCCTCCCCCGGGGCCCCACCCCGGCCAGTGCCTTGGTCGAGCTACGCTGAGGTCGGGCCTGTCCCCCTACAGGGGGGGCTTGGACGAGAAACTAAAAAATAGTCACAAAATGCCCTAACATGTTCAAAAATAGTCAAACTGCTGACCGGGACCCCTCACCTGGGGCCCTGGCTATACTCGGGTCGGGCGAAAGGGGGGGATAGCAATGGGGGGGTTTGAGAATCAGCTCCCGGAGCTGACTTTCCCGGCGCCTCCCGGCGCCGGAGGCGGCTATGCATCGAGGAATGGGCCCCTCGATGGGGCCGAAACCAGCTGCACGCAGCAGATTTCGTAACTCCCCCTTTCCCAATCCCCCCCTTCCGTCCGGCCCGATATACCCGACAGGATCCGGCAGCAGCAAAAAAAAGCAGCGGAGGGCAGGAGCCGCGCCTCGAGCCTCGAGAGAACAGCACGTCCCGCGCGCACCCGCCGGGGGTCGGCCCCCAAGGGGCGCCTCCCCGGGGCCCCACCCCGGCCAGCATGCCTTGGTCGAGCTACGTTTAAGTCGGGCGAGAAATAAAAAATAGTAAAAAACCAAAACATAAAATAAAGGCTATAAGTAAAAAATCAAAATATACAAAATAGCTTTAAAAAAAAACATAACATATTCAGAAATAATCAAAAAATCGTCCCCAGGCTATTGTGTGACTATTTCTGAGTATTCCTGCTGTAGAGGGACAGGCCCGACTTAAAGCTACGTCCGGCCGTGGCAATGAGAACCCGCACGAACGCCCAATACTTCTGATGCTCCCATCGTACTTAACGACCACATCCCAGAAATAAGTTCGAGCGCCCGGAAAAGTGTCGAAAGAGTGTCGGGCGAGTGTCGTCCAGGGCCCGACACGTGAAAGCCATCGAGTTTCGGTAAGTATTTCTGTTGATGCTCGAAACTCGTTCTGGTGGTCGAGGCTAAAGTAGGTTGGAACATCATAACCCAGTACCCCTAAATTGCATCCTCGGGGGGCCTCGCCCGTCCCGGCGCGCCGCGATCCGCGTCGAATCCGCGTCGAATCTGTGGCGAGCGCGTCGAATCCACGTCGAGTCCACGACGAATCGGGTCGTGTCCGCGCCGATTGCGCGGCGACTGTGTACCGACCATACTTCGGGTCTGTCAGAATAGGCAACAACTTACAGGACACACGACGTCCCCAGGAGCTTCGGCGGAGAGCGAAGGGAAGAGATGAGGAGGAGGAGGCCTTCTCAGAAGGCGGCGGGGCTCCTCAAAGCTTCCGCGCCTTCTGAGAAGTTCTGCGCGTCGTCGGGGAAGACTCAACACACGTCTCGGAATGCCTCGGAGGATGCCAGGGACTTCCGAGCAAGGCTGAACCTAAACGGGGCTTCTCGTTCCCGTTTGGCTTCCGTGTTCCCTCGCTATTGTCCCGAAGCCGCCCCCACCGCAACACGACAGCGAAACGAACACGGCCCACGACACCGCCAGAGACGCTGCTCAGGTCCAGCCCCGCCTCCGAGCCTTCTTCGGGTTGACCCAAAAGGGGATCCAGCGCCAAGGGGGTGATGCAATAGATGTGGTGCAATCGATTTGTGGGGTTGCAACACATCGGGGGCATGCAGTACAGTCTGGGCCACAGATGTATTGCTGGATTTTCGCGTGCAATACATTCGTCGCAGTACAATGCAATACGGTTCTCCGGCGCAATACGCTTGCAACACGGGGCGTCTCCGGTCACCCTCGGGACGCCCTCGGCGAGCGGCGCGGCTGCCGGACGCCACCCCGCGGCCGGACAGACACCGCCGAGCGCCGACGACGGCGAGCCAAGGACCTCGAGCGCGGGGGCGCGCCGCCGAGAGAGAGGCAGCGCCACGAGGCCCCCCCCCCCGAGGCGACGGCGCCGCCGCCGACGCCGCGGCCGACGAGAAGCGAGCGGACTCCGCCGACGCCCCGCGCCTCTCGTCGGTCCGCCGATCTGCGCGGCGCCTCGGCGCCGAGCCAGGGGAGGCAACAGCGTGCACAGGACCGGCGGGGGCCCCCCGAGGACGCACCACCACGACACCCTCCGAGACGAGAGCGCCGACGCCGCCGACGACGAGCAAAAAGAGGCCGCCGCCGACGCCCCGCTCATTCTCCGGCCCATCAGAGCACAGCAGCAGGCAACAACTCACAGGACAGACGAGGCCCCCGAGGACGCAACGCTGCAGAACACCACCCGAGACCACGACGCCGACGCCGACGCCACCGCCGAGGACGACAAGGAGGCCGTCGCCGGCCGCTCCGCTCGCTCCTCTCCTCGCTCGGCCGCGCGCGGCGCCTCGGTCCACACGGTCTCCGGCTCCATCGCCTCGGGAACGGCGCCCCGACCGGCGGCGCGCTCGGGGAGGGCCATCCTCCTCCTCCTCCCTCCCTCCCCCCCCTCCCTTCCTCCCTCCCGCACTCCCGCCCTCTCCAACGTGTGGAGGAGGGCGGAGGACTTGAGGAGGGGAAGCGGGGAGGGGGGGGAGGATGAGGGGGACGCGTTCTCCCGGTGTTCCTCCAGTTCCTCCTCGCTGGATGGCTCAGCGTATCAGAGAGGGGGAGGGCGAGGACTGGCGGCGGAGGTGAGAGGGGGCACGTGGGATGACACGCATGGGGTGGCGGGGAGGGGGGAAGAAGAGAGGGAGGAGGGAAGAGGAGAGAAAAGGATGAGGAGGATGAGGAGGGGGACGGGGACTGGAGAGGAGGACGCGTGGAAGAGGAGGAAGAGAAACAAAAAGAGAGGCGAGAACGGGAAATAGGCAAGCGAGGTGCGCTCGCGCCATATCTGTCATCCGACCCCTCCCTCCCATCCATTCCCATTGCGCTGATGGCTCCTCCATCCGCGGACGCGTGCTATCGCCGACCTCTACCTCAACAGAAAGACCCTATCGTGTCATGACCAGTCGGAAAAGTGGGACCCTGTGCGACCTGGGGGACACCCTGTGGCCATGCGCACGCGGGGCCCCGTGGGACCTGCGACATACCCGTGGGGCCAGCGGGAACCCGTGGTGCGCGGCACCCGCGGGACCCGCGGGGACCCCCGGGGAGGCCCCCGGGCGGGAGCCGCGAGACGTGCGACGCCTCCGGGGCCTGCGGGACCCGTGGGGCCCGCCGGACCCGTGGGGCTCGTCGGACCCGTGGGGCCCGCGGGCCCCGTGGGACCCGTCGGGCCCGCGGTGCCTCTGGGCCGTATTATAGGACGTGGGGTCTCCGTGGGGCCCGCAGACTCCTCCTGAGCACCCCGCGAGGCCCGTGTGAGCTCTCCAGAAGCCTGCCCAGTGCGGGGGCGGGAGCACAGCGCCGATGCGGAAATGTGAAGCCCACGCTCCCCCGCCCCCTCCCCCTCCCTCTGCCTCTCCCCCTCCCCCTCTACAATTACTCAATATGAATACTACTCTCCCTCTTCCCCGGATTACGGCCTGGGAGTGTCCGACCCCCCTCGCGTACTGTTTTTTGCACACAAAGTTCCCTGGAGTTGGGTTTTCGCCTGCATGTCTTTTCAAAATAATGCTCTCGCTGAGGCGCCGGCCTCATTTTCGGGCCCCGCTCGTTCCGAATCGTGATCCCGCTGCAACGCTGGCCTCATTTCCGTGCTTCCGCTCGTTCCGAATCGTGCTCCCGCTGCAGCGCTGGCCTCATTTCCGCGCTTCCGCTCGTTTCGACTCGTGCTCCCGCTGCAGCGCTGGCGCCATTTCCCGTGCCATGCCACGGCATGCAATGCAATGCTAGGTTGATACTACGCTTTGTGGTGCTCTTCTACGCCATGCCACGCCGTGCTCTACAATGCATCGCGTACCCTTTCGGGATCATTGCCCTGCTCGACATCCGACTGACCGAGTAGAGAGGGGATCTGCGCCATGGTAAGGGATGGGAGGGAGGGGTAGGATGTCAGATATGACGCGAGCGCACCTAGCTTGCCCTCCCCCTCTCCCCCTCCCCCTCCCCCTCTCCCTCTCCCTCTCCCTCTCCCCATCCCTCTCCTTCTCCCTCTCCCTCAGCGAGAGCACCATCTTGGAAGGAACGCGACCTGTCGAGTGGAGAAAACGCAAGAAGAAAAGTTCGTCTGCACAAAACACGCGTGACACACACAATGTGCGGAGGGGAGGCGGCTGCTCTCGGAGCACTCTCTGGAAACCGTGGGTGGAGGGAGGAGAGCATTATTCATACTGTGTGACTGTGGGGGAGGAGCGAGGAGAGACGAGGGGGAGCAGGAGGATGAAAAGGAGACCCGTGCGAACGACGGGCACCTGGGAACCCAGAGGCTGGACAGGTCGTGGGCCGCGCACAGCTGCCCATGCCGTCCTCGAGCCAGGCTGGACACGGCGGATTATCCGAGGTGCAGCCGACGGTGCCGCTGCGGCTCGCTGGCGGCAAGGGCTGCGCACAGACGCGCCCCGTGCCCTGTCGCGCACGAGCTGCCGTGGGCGTCCTGGCGCGCGCTGCCACGGCCCTGTAAAGGATGGCGCCTCGCGGCGTTGTCTCGCGCGACCTGCCCCCAGCGTGGTAGCTGATGGATCGTTCTCGCTGCCTCTCCTCGCAACGACGGTGTCGGTGTCCAGTGCCCGCCCTCTCGCATGGGCGGCACCCAGGAGGGCGGCTGCAGATCGGAGTCCGCTCTGCCCTTTCGCAAGGGTGGTGTCTGATGCCTTTGCATGCACTGCCGCATGAGATGATTCCCGCTCTGATGGAGGGGGGGAAGAAGGAGCAGGGGGAGGAGTCGGTAGGAAAGAAACAAATATGCGTAGCATCGGCAGAATCAACAATACCAGCAGCGGCGAAGCATGAAGGGAAATACTCGAGTTTGTGGAATGATGGCCGCGAAGAGATATGGGACAAAACGGTTGGGGACGGTGGAGGGTGACAATAACGAGCACACGCGACCAACAAAACAAACATAGGAGATTGGGGTGTGAGCTCGGAGTGAAGCGGAATACCCCCCCGCCCCGACGAGGAAATCGCTTCTGGTCTCGGATCATGTCGCGCGTGCGAGCGAAGAGGAGTTGCACGAGATCCCCTCGTGCTACCGACCATGAGAAACACTGAATCAAGACGAGAAGGCTTTTCGTCCGGCCGCCGCGCCACCGCGAATCTCGACGTCCAACTGAGGAACGGCCGGGGACCATAGCCCTGCTTGAGCTCGAGACAGCGGCTACGTCATCGTCTTGGCTGAAATGATTGGTTTATTGTTCCCAATAAAGGTCATTACCCAAAAGGGGTGGTTTGGGCGGTGGGGGGGGGGGGCGGCTGCGGTGATATATGCTGGCTGGGGCACGCAAAGGCGGGGGTGCGCCGCGATCGCCAACATGTGCGCACGAACACCAACATCCGGGGGGATCCAGCCCACCCCCCACACACGACACACTTCCCATCCCTAGCTCGGGGAGGCATCGTGGACCAAATCGCTGGAGGTGGCCTCTGGTGTTGGTGGTGTCGCTGGCGTTTGGCCCAGGTGACGACCGCTACGCACCAGCGGATAACAACACATCTCACTGCAAGACACACACTCCACTGCGAGGCCAATTTGTATACACCACCACCGCCCGCAACAATAATTATCCGCGAAAAGGGTTAGGGGCAGGGTCATGCCAGACGACGCTGCGACGCCACGGCGAAATGGAGCGCGGCGCAGCTCGCAGGCGCAGTGGCATGGGGAGTTCATGAAGCAGAAACAGCACTTCTTAGTGGTGGTGTATAAAACTCGCTCCCTTTGGTAACCAAAATTGTATAAACCACCGCCGCGCGTGCTTGGATGAATTCTGATTCGGCCCTTGAGGGAGAGGGGGCAGCCCGGTTGCCGCTGGCGGCGGGAGGGGGACTGCGGGCTTCTCAACAAAGCAAAACTGCACCACATCGCATCGTAGATTATTCTCGATCTTGGTGGTGGTAGTCATACACTGTGTTCGGATCCACTGCGTCTGCGCGTCCCTGGCTGCCTAGCCGTTGGGCTGATATCGGGACAGCTGGAGAGGTCGACAGAAGAGGTGCAGCATTAGAAGCGCTACATGACCTCAAAGGCATAACAAGTAAAATGTGGTAGAACGCCTGAGCGGAAGACTTCAGATGATTGTGAACGAACCAGGGGTTGAACAAGAGATGTGTTCGAATCTGAAGAAAGAGAAACGACACACAACCACCACAAAGGGGGCCGCTTGCAACGAGAAGCAATCAAAAGGACCACACCACGAAAAAAATCCGCCCCGGCGCCCCGCGCTAACGGAAACGCATTTTTCCGCGTTCCAATAAAATCGGACTGGCGGGGCCGAACGGACATTCATCGTCCCTGGGTGCGTGGCTGAAGTGGGTATCCGTGGTGAAGATTATACCTGTTGCGTTGTTGCGTTGTTACGTTGTTGTTGTTTGTTATCGTCGTCCCACCCGCGACCCACCCCGCGACCCACCCCGCGACCCATCCTGCGACCCACCCCGCGACCCACCCCACGACCCACCTGCGACCCAACCCGCGACCCACCCGCGACCCACCCGCAACAAACCACACGACCCACCCGCGACCCAACCCGCGACGCATCCGCGACCCACCCGCGACCCACCCGCGACCCACCCCGCGATCCAACAACGACACTCCCGCGACCCACCCGCGATCCAACAACGACCCACCCGCGACCCACCCGCGACCCACCCGCGACCCACTTGCGACCCACCCTGCGACCCACCCGCGACCCACCCGCGACCCACCCGCGAACCAACAACGACAGACTAGCGACCGACCCGCGACCCAACTGAGATGTTTTTCACATCCGCCACCCACCCGCGACCTACCACATTGGTTTAACGGACAAATCGGCGCCTGCGGCGGGCTCGTTGTATAATTTGTGAAACCGTGCCGTTTGCGGCTGGCTTCTCCGAGTCTCGCAAAATGCCGACGCCCCCACCGCCCCGTCACTCTTATCCGCATATGCGGGGGGCTACGTATTTTAATGGCCGCCATCGCGGTTGATGCGTGCGGTTGTCCTGCGGATATTCCGTGCGTTCGTCCTACAGACGTCCCGTCGCTATCCCGTGGCGCCATGAACTACCATCCGTCGGCCCGCGCTTGGCTAGTGGTGCAAAATGCGCCGGCCCAACGGGCCAAAGGCGTGCTAAGATCTCCGGTAACAAGGTAGCAATATAACAAGTTCGCGCGCGCGAAGCGGCCCCTGGGGGCCCCGACGCGACAAATACGGCGCCAAAGTCTTGACAAGTGCCCGTCAGAAATGCCAGAGGCCCCCCAGACGGCCCAAGAGGCGCCCAAGACGGCCTCAAGAGAGCGCCCAGACGGTCCAAGAGCCCTTGGGGTCCTCGAAAGATTGGCCGACGATGCCACACGAT